CCGTGGAAATTCTGCACCTGTAAAACGAATGGGCGCGGCGCTACTGCGAGAGCCACACGTTGAAAACCACCCACCGTCCATGTGCGCGGTGCTAGGGCGAGGGCCATATTTTGGAAACCACCCGCCCTCCAGCCATAAAACTCTTCCCACGTGTCACGCTCCCCAATCAGCATTGGTGAGGACGCGTCAAGCCGCGCGCCCGGCCCGTCCTCAAAACTGGCATCGGGGCAAGACACGGCGAGGTTACCCTGACGAAAGGTATGGAGGAGGAGAACAAGGAAGAGGAGGAGGAGGAGGAGGAGGAGGAGGACGAGGAGGAGGAGGAGGAGGAGGAGGAGGAGGAGGAGGACGAGGACGAGGAGGAGAGAGGACGAGGAGAAGGAGGAGGAGAAGAGGAGGAGGAGGAGGAGGAGGAGGAGAACGAGGATGAGGAGGAGGAGGAGGAGGAGGAGGAGGAGGAGGAGGAGGAGGAGGAGGAGGAGGAGGGAGGAGGAGGAGAGGAGGGGAGGAGGAGGAGGAGGAGGAGGAGGAGGAGAGGAGGAGGAGGAGGAGGAAGGAGGAGAGAGGAGGAGGAGGAGGAGGAGGAGAGGAGGAGGAGGAGGAGGAGGAGGAGGGAGGAGGAGGAGGAGGAGGAGGAGGAGGAGGAGGAGGAGGAGGAGGAGGCCGTACAGGACATCAGCGTCTACGCAAACACCGCCAGCACCAGCGCCGCCATCTACACCAGCCCCAACGCCAACGCCAGCGCCTACACCAGCACCGACGCCAGATCCGATGCCAGAATCAACGCTGGCGCCAACGCCAGCAACAGCGCCGACAGTCGCTAACGCCTCTTCTATTCCGGCACCAAAGCCAGCAGGGTCGCCGAGGACGCCAGCACCGACGCCAACAGCGACTCCGCTGACACCAAGGCCAGCACCTCCCAACATCATCGCCGACAGCGTCGAGCAGGCCCTGAGGACCGTCGGGATGAAGCCCGTGGACCAGACGTTCGACACGCACCCGGAGCCTCTCTCCGGCGCACAGGCGACGGAACCCGTGAAAGCCGTCGAGGTGTGAGGTCCGCGGACTCGGCGTCTGACAACTTCCTGGAGCCTCTCGCCGGCGTCCCCGCGAAGGAGGCCGTGAAGGCCGCCAAGACGAAGTCCGTGGACGGCGCGCCCGACATCTTTCTGGAGCCTCTCGCCAGCGTCTCGGCGGAGGATGCCCTCAGGGTCGCCGAAAACGTCCTCGCACGGGCCGTCCGACATTTACCTGAGGACTCTGGCAGGCGCCCTTGAGGAGGCCCTGCAGGCAGTCGCGAAGGGGTCCGCGGATGGGTCGTCGGACATCTTGCTGAAGCCTCTCTATGACGCCCTCGCCTCGCGGAGGAGGCCCTGGAGGCTGCCGAGCTGCGGTCGGCGGACGGGGCCTCCGACGCCCTCCCGAGGCCTCTCTCCAGCGTCCCGGCGCAAGAAAGAGGCCGGGCAGGCCAGGGCCGACGGAGCCGCGCGCGCGACGGGAGCCTGCCCGCGCCTCGCCCCCTCCCCGCCCTCACTACGGCAGCGCGCGGCGCGCGAACGAGCGAGGGGGCAGGCGCTGAGACCGCCTTGCGGGGGGGAGGGGGGGGGGCAATCGTGGCGTCCAGAGCGCGGGTAGAGCAGGGCGGTCCGAAGCAGGCGAAGCTCTGTGGGAGACGCTGGCAGGAACGCTCGGACACAGCGAGGCGGCCCCCGGCACGCGCCAAGGGGCACTCCTGCGGCCGAGCCGCGCTGCCCATGGTGTAGCGCAAGGGGGCCGCCGGGCTCCTTCGATGACACGCGGCAGCCCAGCTGCGCAACACGATCGTGGCAGCCGTTCCCAACGCAGGCCCCTCTGCAGAGCTGGACGCAGCACTCACTGAATTGCTGCGCGCCCGGGGGGGGCGCCGCCCCGCGGCGGGGGATCTCGCACGCAGCGAGCGCCAGGCCAATCGCCAATGAACCCATGGCGGTGGCGGACCGCCGAGCGATCGGTACAGACAGGCGTGCGCCCCAGTGCCGGACCGACCGCCAGGGAGGCCCCGGTGGCCACCTGCAAGCGACAGCGGCGTTTGACAGCGCACGGCTGCCAACACTTTTCACGTCGGCGGCTGGGCAAGGAGCCACTGCGCCGGCGAGGGAGCGAAACGGGGCTGCCGATGAGCAAAGTGCGCCGATGGCTACCAAGACAGGCGCGACGCCAAGCCTGGCGAGCGATCGACGCTGTCCGCGCCACGACGGCGAGGCTCCAGGGACAGCGTCGTCCGAGAACTTCCCCGCACTCCACGGGCGGCCGCCACCGCAGGAGCACGGCCCAGGCAGGCCCCAAACTCACCGCCTCGGCTCTGCAGTGCACTCGCTGCTCCTCCCCGACGCCCCGGACAGGCTGCATGGGCACGAGGCCTCCGGCGGGGCCCGGAAACGGCAGGGCCTCTTTGAAACCGTGTTCGACAAAATCTTCCGGAAAGGACCGGAAACTGCCATGGCACCAGGACCGGAACCGGAAAAAACAGAGACGGCGGCAGACGGCGAAACGGACCGGTAAAAAAACTGCCCTGTCGTTTCCAAGAGCCCAGTGCCACCGAGCGGCGACGGCAGGAGCACGCCAGCCTCCCCTGCGAGGCAGGCCACCTGCCGAAGTGTCCGCCTTGCGCGGGGCAGACCCCCCTCCTGCTGCAGGGTGGCGGAGGCGGGCAGCCAGCGGCGGCTGGAGCTCACGCGCGCGCCCGAGGCCGTAAGACATCCTGGCGCGGACTCCCCGCAGGGCGGGCTGCATCAGGGCAGGCGCGATGCAGGCAGAGCAACAAGCATAGACACCAGAGCACGGGAGCACAAAGAGCACAGAGCACAGAGCAGAAAGCATGGAGCGAAGAGCCTCAAACGCAGAGCACAGGGCAGGGGGCCGGGAGAGCAGAACCCCTGCGCCCGTCGAGCACGATTCCGCGCACTCCAGCGCGAGCGGCCCAGACCCCCGACGTCGTGATTTTGTCGCAGCGTCGACACCTAGGTGGTCTGGGCCCTTTCCCTGGGACCGGTTTTTCACCAAGACTCGTTCTTGACAGTCCCGGGGCCCGGTGAGGAGACCCCGGAAGCCGAAAATAACCAAAACAAACTCCCGCCGTGATTGTTTCACAACTCAGGGGGGCCTGGGGGGCCCCCAGGAGGGCCACCCCAGAAGGATGACAACATCTCAAAACCCGGAGGGCACAGGACTTGCAGGCACAAAGGGAAGCAGCGAGGATGCGCCGAGAAGAGGAAGAGGGAGGAGGAGGAGAAGGAGGAGGAGGAGGGATGAAGGATGAGGGAGGAGGGAGAAGGGAGGAGGAGGGAGGAGGGAGGAGGGAGGAGGGAGGAGGGAGGAGGAAAACGAAGAGGAGGAGGAGGGGGAGGCGTAAGAGGAGGAGGACGAGGAGGAAGAGGAGGAGGAGGAGGAAAGGGAGGAGGAGGAGGAAAAGGAGGAGGAGGAGGAGGAGGAGGAGGAGGAGGAGGAGGGGGGAAGAGGAGGAGGAGGAGAGGAGCAGCAGCAGGAGGAGCAGGAGGAGGAGGGATGAGGGAGGAGGGAGGAAGGAGGAGGAGGAGGAGGGAGGAGGGAGGAGGGAGGAGGGAGGAGGAGGAGGAAACGAAGAGGAAAAGGAGGAGGAGGAGGAGGAGGAGGAGGTGGAGGAGGAAGAAAGTCCTGGGACATTTGCAGGATGTCGCCATTTGCGTCCCAGGGCTATCCCCACCCCTCCTGGGTTTGGGGGTCTTCCCCGACGGGGAAGGCGCGCCTAGGGCCTCCTGGGACATCCTGAGCGAAGGGCGACCACTTTACAGTGAGTCTCTCCTGTTCCCACGCCCGCTTGATCCCCATCTGCTTGCATGGGCTGCGACCTCAACAGCCTTCAGTAGCGAGCGAGCGAACGAGCCAGGAACGGGATCGTGGGATCGTGGAGCCGCAGAACACGCGTCAAGGAGCCGGGGCCTTCAGCAGGGCTCGAGCTACGCAAAACAGTGCTTTCCGTTGTCCTTCTGCTTCCGTTTGCCCTCGTTCCGTCTTCGTTCCGCCCTTGCTGCGAAACAAACTCAAAACGAGAATGGTCCACGAAGTCGCAATACAGCAGCCTTCGGTCGGGAATGTCCCCCTACAGGCGGATTTTGGATGACAAATAAAAACATGCAGAAAATACGCAAAAAAAAAAAAAACAATCAAGAATGGTAGAAAAATCTTCACCCTGCTATTTTTCTGACTATGTTTGAATACTCCCCCTGTAGAGGGACACGCCCGACTTAACTCCAGCCCTGGCACTCAAGCGCAACCGCTTCGCAGCGCAACACGGGCGGCGCTGGGGGCGACGCAAAGAGGCCCGCAGGCAGCCCCCCACGTGGCTACCGCGGGGAGAACGCAGACCCCCTCCACCGAAGACGAGGAGGGCGAGGATGAGGACGAGGAGAAGGAGGAGGAGGAGGAGGAGGAGAAGGAGGAGGAGGAGGAGGAGGGGGAAAAGGGGGGGGAGGAGGAGGAGAGGAGGAGGAGGAGGGAGGAAGAGGAGGAGGAGAAGGAGGAGGAGGAGGAGGAGGAGGAGGAGGAGGAGGAGGAAGAGGAGGAGGAGGAGGGGGAGGAGGAGGAGGAGGAGGGAGGAGGAGGAGGAGGGGAGGAGAGGAGGAGGAGGAAGAGGAGGAGACGGAGAAGAGGAGGAGGGCAGGAGGGGAGAAGCAGGAGGAGGGGGGAGGAGGGGGAGGAGGGGGAGGATGAGGCGGAGGAGGAGGAGGAGGAGGAGGAGGAGGAGGAGGAGGAGGAGGAGGAGGAGGAGGAGGAGGAGGAGGAGGAGGAGCTCTTCCGCAGCTCTTCCCTGGGCGCCGAACGCGCCTGTCTTTCCCGCGGCGGAGGCCCAGCATGCGCCGCCGCGCGGCGGCCGCGGGGCGCTCTCGCTCACGGCGGCGCGCTTCCAAGGGCGGGGGGCTGCAGTCTCCTCCCTGGCACCGCGCCTCGACGCGAGGCTGGTCCTCCTCGCAGGCCCGCCCTTCTCACATGATCTCACAATCGTCCGCTGCACTTCTCACACTTCTCTTGTCAAACTTCCGTTTCAGCCACCGTCTGTCGCTGGCCTCGCTCCCTGCGTTGTACCTGATGATGGCGGCGGGCTTCGACTTGATCGCCCCCTTCCGCTTCGGCTCCATCACTTCGCCTCCCGCCAGCCACTCGTCTGCGATCGCGGCCCTGGCCTCCCACATGGCCCAGCTCGCTTTCTCGGATCCAGCCGTGGCGACGAGGCGGGACGAGGAGTAGCTAGGGCTAGGGATATTGGGCTCTTGCTTCGCCTCTGCTTTCTTCTCGCATGCCCTGATCCCAGCGCCGTAGCAGATGGCGTCGGGCTCTACCTTCGCCTCCCACTTTTCGCGCTCGCTGATCCCAGTGGCTTGGATCTTCGCCTTCTGCTGCCACTGCCCGTCTCTCTCGCACTGCTCTCTCTCTCTCTCTCTCTCTCTCTCTCTTTGTTTCTCTCTCTCTATCTCTCCCTCTCTCTCTTCTCGCACGCACAGGGTCCGCCTGTGCGCGGCTTCCACTGCCCGTCCGCTGAAGGCTGCCACGCCACGCTGTAGCTGAGGCCGTCTGGCTCGTGTTCTTGAAGCTGCCACTCCCCGCCTTGCACGCACTCGCCGGCCTTGCCCTCTTGAAGCTGCCACTGCCCGTCCTTCTCGCACGCACAGGGCCCTGCCTTCCTGGAGGCCCACTACCCGTCTTTGTCGCACGGCTGCCACTGCCCGTCCTTCTCGCACGAGCTGGCCTCCCGTCCTGGAGGATGCCAATGCCTGTCCTTAGCGCACTTTCGCCCCTTCCTCTCTTGAAGCTGCCACTGCCCGTCGCTTTTGCACGCCACTCTGTAGCTGGTAACGTCTGGCTCGTTTTCTCGGGGCTGCCACTGCCTGGCCTTCACGCACGCAGAAGCCTTGCCCTCCTGAAGCTGCCACTGCCCGTCTTTCTCGCACGCACAGCGTCCGGCTCTTTGAAGTTACCGCGGCCCGTTTTTCTTGCGCAGCGCGCTGTAGCTGATGGCGTCTGGCTCGTCTTCTTGTGGCTGCCACTGTCTGCCTTCTTGGAGCTGCCACTGCCCGTCCTTCTCGCACGCATGGGTCCTGCCTTCCTGGAGCTGCCACTGCCCAGTCTTCTCGCACACACGGGGCCCGTCTCTTTGAGGCTGCCACTGCCCGTCCTTCACGCACGCATGGGTCCTGCCCGCCTGAAGCTGCCACTGCTCGTCCTTCTCGCACGCACAATGTCCGACTCCTCGAGGCTGCCGCCGCCCGTCCGTCTTGCAGGCCGCACGGTAGCTGGTGGTGTATGGGTCGTCTTCTTGAGGCTGCCACTGCCCGTCCTTCTCGCACGCAGTGGGCATGCCCTCTTGAAGCTGCCACTGCCCGCCCTTCTCGCGCGGCTGCCACTGTTCTTGAAGCTGCCACTGCCCGTCATTTTCGCCCACTGGTTCCTCCGCGTCGGCCTGCATCCACTGCCAACACCACAGCGGCTCGTCGGTTTGCGGGGTGACAAACGGCATGACGAACTCCCACATCATGGCGCAAGTCACGAAGGGCGAGGCGTCGGCGTTCAGGCTGCAACCGTCTCGTTTCGCTGGGGGCTGCACCTTCGCCGCTTCTGCCTTCCACTTCTCGACTTCCCTTCGTAGCTTCTGCACCAGCCTGTCCGCGGAGGCGCGAGCTCCACCAGCGCCCCGCACAGGCTCCCGTCGCGCCTGCGGCGCTGGGGGCATCGGCTCCGCGGGCCCACCCGAAATGGCTAGGCCGCGCTGCCCGTGCCACCTGGAGGAGGAGGAGGGGGAGGAGGAGGAGGAGGAGGAGGAGGAGGAGGAGGAGGAGGAGGAGGAGGAGGAGGAGGAGGAGGAGGAGGAGGAGGAGCCCCCTCTCAACTTTCTGCGCAAAGATTCGGTGGCAACTCATGGGAGCCTCCCACACCATCTTGTCGGCTCTTGCGAATCGACGCGAATCGACGCTAAGTCGACGCTAAATCGACACGCTTATCGGCGCTAGCCGATGCGAAATAGGCGCTATCTCGTCGACTCCCAGACGCTAATCAACGCTAATCGACGCTAGAAACGGACTTGAGAGGGTGCGCCAGGCTCCCATGATTTGCTACCGAACAAAACTGCCCGGAGGGGGATCCACGACGGGGAGGCCAACAAAACGCCGCAAGCACGCGGACGGAAGCTCCTCCTCTAGAGACCCCCGCACGGCACTGCACGGGGGCACCCGCGATCGCACGGTGCCGCCCGGGGGGCCCTTCGTGAAGCCCAAAGGCTGCCGGCAGCTGCTGGGGATGGGCCGCCCGCTCGAGCGCGGGCGACCTGGCGCCTTCGCGGACGCCGCAGGCCAGGAATAACGCGACGCAGGCCAACGGGCAGCCCGTTCCAGGGCGCGACGCAGGCCCGTCAAGGCGGCATGCGCGAGCAACAGCGACATGTCTTGGAGGGCGGACGCGCGCGGAGGAGGCGGGCCGGCGCGTGCGAGCGAGGTGGGCAGTAGAAGCAGCAGCACCAGCAACAACGGAGGCCCGAGGGCGTGCCAGCACCCGGGTGGCCCGTCTCAAGTGGTTGCAGTGCGCGCCGCCTGCCTGGGCCGCAGAAACGTAGCGGACGCGGGGCCGACTGGAACTGACCGAACCGGACTGGGACTGGGAGAGAACGGGAGCAGGGGACTGCGCTGAACCAGCACACAGACCAGAGGCTCGCCTCGAGGGCGGCTAGGCTGTCCTTGGGCCAACACGACAACACGGGCAGGGAGACTTCGCCTGCCCCACCTGGGCGAGCCTGGCAAAGGCGCCAGAAGCAGGCAAGCAGCAACGACGTGGCCATGCCTGGAATCTTTGACTGGACCACACGCGATCGCCCTGCTCACCAGCCAGCCAAACTTTCACACGTCGCATGCCGCTCCGGCACAGCGTCCGAGGCTCCACGCTCCCGTGGCCCAGCCGCCTGGCCCCCAGTTGCTGCGCGCCGAATGCTGCGCGACGGTGGCAGCCCTGGGCCACGCAGCCCACGGTGCACGAGTGGCAGCGCCGCGCGCCCTTCCCCCCGCACTGCGGCCTGCTGCGCGGCAGCTCGCGTGGCAGAGGCAAGGAGCCGCGCCGCCCCAGAGCGGCCGCCCTGCCCAGCTGCGCCAGGGGAGCGCCCAACCCGAACACTTGTGGAATGCCATCTGAGAAGATGCAACGCAGGTATGCGTACACAAACCAACAAACCAACACACAAACAAACCAACAAACCAACCAACAAACAAACAAACAAACAAACAAACAAAAGCGCCTGTAGGCATCTGAGCGGACTTGAAACGCAGACTACGTGCGCCAACCCTTCCGCTATCCAAGAGGCCCTGCACGACCCCCCGTGGTTGGCCTTTCAAAAAGCAATACGAACATGTGCCAGCAGCACAAAGCAACGAAGAGCCACTCAATGTGAACAACTGCTTGGCGTCACGTGGAGTTGTTTGGCATTGCTTGGGGTGGTTGTTTGGCCCTGCTCGGAATTGTTTCGCGTTCCTTGGCATTGCTTAGCAGTGCTCTTTTCGGGGCACTCGTGCGTCATTTGGGGGTCAACTTGTGCCCTCAGTGACCCTGCATATGCGAAAAGGCGAGAGGGCGAAGCGAACACTATGGATGTTCCAAAAAGGTGTTCGACTAATGTTCGGTTCTCGGGACAACCCCGGAAAGCTCCGGCGGTCCTTGGAGCCGTCTTGGGACGGTCTTCGGGACCAGTGGAAGTACCTCGGCAACTATCTTAAGCCATCTCGGGCCCTCGGGTGCCATCCTGCAGGCCTTAGTGGACCATCTTGGGCCCATCTTGGACCACCCTGGGCCTTTTGGAAGCTTAATGGGGGGGCGTCAAAAAGGCGACGGGATGGTCGCGGGGTGGCGGACACCAGGGGCGATAATAGACGCGACGGGATGGCTACGATATCATTTGTATATATATATATATATATATGCAAGCATACACACATGAATCATATATATATATATACATACATACGTAGTATGTGTGTATGTGTATGTGTATGCGCATGTGCATGTGTATGTGTATGTGTATGTGTATATATATGTATATGTGTATGTGTATGTGTATGTGTATGTGAATGTGAATGTGTATGTGAATGTGTATGTGTATGTGTATGTGTATGTGTATGTGGATGTAGATGTGGATGTGTATGTGTATGTGTATGTGTATGTGTATGTGTATGTGTATGTGTATGTGCATGTGTATGTGTATATGTGTATGTGTATGTGTGTATGTGTATGTGCGTGTGCGTATGTGTATGTGTATGTGTATGTGTATGTGTATGTGTATGTGTATGTGTATGTGTATGTGTATGTGTATGTGTATGTGTATGTGTATGTGTATGTGTATGCGTATGTGTATGTGTATGTATGTGTGGCAGCTAGGCAGGTCGGTATGGTGGTGCATGTATAAATGTACGAATTCATGTATGTATGTATGGATGGATGGGTGTGCGTTTCTATGTATGTATGTGTGCATGTGTTTATGTATGTATGTGTGTATGTGTATGTCTGGATGTATGTATGTATGGATGGACGGACGGATGGATGTATGTATGTATGGATGTAAGTGTGCATGTGTGTATGTGTGTACATATGTTTATTATGTGTGCATGTATGTATGTATGTCTGTATGTATGTACGTATGTATGCGTACGGGTGCAAGTATATGTATGGATGGATGGATGTATGTATGTGAGTAGGTACGTACGTGTACAAATGTGAGTATGTGTATATATGCGTGTATGTACGTTTGTTAGTGCGTGTGTGTCTGTATGTTTGTATGTATGTATGTGTACGTATGTATGTTGTGTATGTGTATGCACGTATGTATGTATGTATGTACGTATGTCGGTGCTGCGTATGTCTGCATGGTGTATGCACGTATTTATGTTTGCATGCATGCATGAATGCATGTGCATGCGTGTCTACGTGTAGTTGTGTATGTATGCATGTATGTATACATGCATGCATGCATGCATGTAGGTGTAGGTGTATGTGTATGTACGTACGTACGCGTGTATGCATCGACATGCATGTTTGTACAGATGTACGTACGTATGTATGTACGTACGTATGTGTGTAGGTGTAGGTGTATGTGTAGGTACGTGCCAACATGGGTAGGTAGGTAGGTAAATCGGTAGGTAGGTATGCATGTCTGTAGGTAGGTATGTGTGAAGTGTGTGTACGCATGCTTGTAAGCATGATGTATGTATGTATGCACGTCCGGGTTGTATGTATGAATGTGTCGTATGGTTCGTAGTGTGTTGTAGCGTCTTGCATTATATGTTATTGGATTGCATTGCATTGCATTGCATGAGATTGGATTGTGTTGAATTGGATCGGTTTGGGTTGGAATGTATTCGGTTGGATTCGGTTCGATTGTATGTATGTGTGTATGTATGTACGTATGTATGTATGTATCATGCATGCATGTATGTATGTATGTGTATGCATGTATGTATGTATGTATGTATGGATGGATGGATGGATGGATGGATGTGTGTATGGATGTATGTATGTATGTATGTATGTATGCATGCATGTGTGTATGTATGTATGTATGTGTGTATGTATGTATGTATGTGTGTATGTGTGTATGTATGT